AGATATTGCGTATGCTGTAAATATAGTGAGTCAGTTTATGCACTCTCCTAGTGTGGATCATATGGGGGCTGTGACTCGTATTTTAAGGTATCTGAAAGTAACTCCTGATAATGGGTTAATTTTCTCCAAGTATGGCCATACGAATGTAGAAGGGTATACAGATGTTGATTGGGCAGGTTCAGCCACAGATAGGCGTTCGATATCTGGGTATTTTATGTTTGTGGGTGGCAATCTTGTTACGTGGATGAGCAAGAAACAAAAGGTGGTGTCTAGATCTAGTGCTGAGGCCGAGTATCGGGGAATGGCCCATGGTGTATCTGAGTTACTATGGTTGAGGAGATTGTTGAAAGACCTTGGTTTTGGGCCTAATAAACCCATGGATTTATATTGTGACAATACGGTTGTGATTGCAATTGCTCATAATCCTGTACAACATGACCGTACAAAATATGTGGAGGTTGATCGAAATTTCATTAAAGAAAAGTTGGATGCGGAGATTGTGTCCTTCCCCTTCATCCGTTCAGAGTATCAGTTAGCTGATGTTCTTACGAAAGCTGTTTCTACAAGTATCTTTCTCAACTCGCTTGACAAGTTGGGCATGCGTGACGTCTTTGCTCCAACTTGAGGGGGAGTGTTGGCGAGTAGAATATATCATTTTCTATTTGGGTTTTATTTATTTTTCCTTTTGTATAGATATTATGTAATTAGGATTCCACTTATTTCCTAATTAAACCCTACTAGGGTTTGTAACCTGTATTATAAATACCTCCTTTCGGAGAATGAAATATATCTGAAAATATTCTACCCATATTGTTTGACTAAATCTATATAAACTTAGCTCTTGTTACTTCATCCTCAAGTTTCAACACCCTATCTGCAAGAACCTCCAGCCGATGGACCTATCCAGAAAGCAAGATAGCATCATTACCTCTGCCATAGTGAATCCCTCTCTTCATTATGCAAAAAGCTTGTGGGCACTTAAAATAATTGAGTACTAATTTGTTTTTGGTAAGAAATTAATTCCAGGAGTAAAGCATGTTGCATCGTGTTTTTTAATTTATTATTTTGTATAAGCAATTAATTATTCTAATTAATTTAATTTACGGTAAAGGAACTCGAATTTGAATGCATATTTTTATGTGTTTTAGTTTGTTATGTTGTGTAAATCTAAACTAAAACCTGTCCGCATCATGTACACCTGTACCCTATTCTCAAACCTCTGACCAATTTTATTTGGGTAGGTTTTTGTCAACCAAGCAAAAAACTATATGAAACATCATGTACATCTAGAAAATTTATTTTGGTTTTTGTCAACCAATTTTCTCTTGCTTATATATCTATATATATATATATATAGCAAAAGGCAGAGAATGGTGAAACATTCAAAATACCAGAAAATGCTCTTGGTTGATGCAAACATTAAGAATTGAAATTATTAATTAAATGAGGATAATATGGTAAATTCATACCTTTTCATATTAAAAAAAATTAAAATTAAAAGAAAAATCAGATAATGGATCCTATTTTTATGGAACACAACTACTCATTATCTTTTTTACTTCTAAAATAAATTTAAATTTTTTTAAAAAAAACCTCTCGCAAGCGCGTGCGGAGAGGCTAGTCATATATGAAACATCTTTCATTGACACACAAAAAATAAATAAATAAATAAATAAATTCATGAAAATAATGTTCCGGTAACATGATATCGTCTGGTGGGAATTTTTGGGTCAAAATATCGTCTAGTGGGTGGACTGTCTGATTTCTATTCACCTAATTTGACTCTCTGTCTCTCTTCCTACTCTGCAAGCTGCACAAAAATGGCTTTGCATGGTACAGTCAATAACCAGCAGTGTCAGATTCACCGTCTAAATCTCTTTCATCGAACCCAAATTCAGCTCCGAAATCTCTATTTCAACATCCCAATCTCGCAGTCTCGAGGCTTCTCCCTTCGTTCTCGCTCGATTTCACATCCTCTGTTGTGTTAGTTTCTTCGCCATTTCTCTCTCAATCCGATACATTTCTTTACTTCCCGGCGCTTATTTTCATTTGGGTTTATCGTGTTTGTTGTGTTCAGTGCGCAGATGTGTATCGGAGAAGATTTCGGGTTCTTTCGATTCGGATTCGGGTCGAAATTATGCATCCGGACCACCGCAGGTGCTCTCTGTTCCTGACTTTTTCTTTTACCTTTTTTTTTTGGTGATTTTTTATATTATTTTGTTGCTTACTTTTATGAACCTCAATCCTTTGTTTGATTAGATTATAGTAGAAGGATCACTTGCGTATTGTTTATGCAATGTGACCAGGTTAGAGTGGGATGAGAGTAGATTAGTTGGAGGAATAATAAATAATAATAAAAATGATAGTGATCCAATTAAAGGATTTAAATCTATTATAATTTTTTAATAAAAGTGACAGAGATGTAGTTGCCTTCTTTATTATTTGGTTTTTGTTTTTTTTTCTTGGGAGAGTTATTTGGTGATTGACAAAGATGGTTCTCACTTGCTTACATCAAAATTATTGTTAGGATAAATGTACATCCCTAAATGCTTTTATTTTCTTTACATCTAGAAAATTTAATCTTTAGTATGTTTAATGGTATAATTATTTTTTTTTCTTCCTAAGGGTGTTGCAACTTTCAATTTTGAAAATAAATGTAATTAGGGTCTTGACTGATAGAAAAAGTCAGACCAATCCAAACCTCGGCTTGGCTTGGTTTATTTACACCCCTCATTACTGTTCATTTTACAAGGCATTTGCAAAATATTTTCGGGCCATATTGATTGTAGTTATTGTATGTCTCATTTCAGATCCCTCAACAAAATAATGTTTCTTTTGTGGAGGTCCTGAAGAAATCAAATTCTTTCCTGCCACATGTAACCCTTGCTAGTACGCTGTTGGCTCTTGTCTTTCCACCTTCTTTCACATGGTTTACCAACAGGTTCTTGAACCTTGTTTAGATAAATTGGTTGGTCAATAATTGAATATTTTGTTTACACTATTCCATTATAGAAACAATGAGCCACTTCCAAGGAAGGTTGACTTTTAACATCACTGTGCTAAAAAGTGGAGTTTGGCTGAATGCAGTTGTGGTCCTTGTGTATACATATTATTTTAAAGGGGAAAACTAAGTGAATGAAGAGGAAAGAAGAAGAGATTCATCCAATCACAGTTAGAAATATAATTTGTATATATTGGCTTGTTACATAAAATGCATTTGGAATTAGTGAGTACAGGGTCTTGGCTATTTATATGTTGATTGTGTATTCTCTTTGCTGCCTAACATGTCAGGGAAGCTTTAGTTCATTTTCTATGTAAATTGTAATTCATTGCATAAAACACATGTACTTTTATTGTAAGCATACTTTTCATCATATAAATAACTAAGTGTTTCAATTTGGTTCCTTCGAACATGATCAAACACAATTAGTTGACTTGTGGCTATGCGGCCTCTTCCCTTTGTTGTAAATTGTAATAACAGTCCCATGCTCATGTGGTGGGCACTTTTGCAGTTTTCCATTCATTTAATTAAACAGACATGGACACAGGGATCTAATTGATATGATTTTGAAACTACTGGGTTTTGACATCCAGATTAAAACATTTTGCAAATTAAATGTCGTATTCATCGAACAAATGATATTGTTCTAAGGACATGCTTATAATTGTGTTCTTGCAATATCGTTCCAGGTACTATGCACCTGCCTTGGGGTTTTTGATGTTTGCAGTTGGGGTTAATTCCAGCGAAAAGGATTTCCTCGAAGCTTTCAAGAGACCAACAGCTATTCTTGCTGGTTATATGGGCCAATTTCTTGTCAAGCCGCTTCTTGGATATATTTTTGGCATTATCTCAGTAGCAATATTTGGTCTTCCAACTCCAGTAGGTATGATCACCCTGCCTCCCTGTCAAAACACCGGCATGAATGTACTAACTTTTCTTGAATCTGTGATCAGGTGCTGGAATTATGTTGGTATCTTGTGTTAGCGGCGCCCAGCTCTCAAATTATGCTACTTTTCTGACGGACCCGCCAATGGCTCCTCTAAGCATTGTCATGACATCACTGTCTACTGCTACTGCAGTATTTATCACACCACTCTTATCACTCTTGCTCATCGGAAAGAGACTGCCTGTTGATGTAAACGGAATGGTGTCCAGCATTCTGCAGATAGTAGTTACACCAGTTGCTGCAGGCTTGCTTTTGAACCGGTGATACACCAACTCTGAATAACATTCTTTTAGCCCAATGTTCACTTGTAGAGATTCTGACTTGTCTTATGTAATTCGCCTTCAGGTTCTTTCCCCGAATATGTGATGCTATTCGGCCATTTTTGCCTCCGTTATCTGTATTAGTTACAGCTTGCTGTGTTGGAGCACCACTTGCCATTAACATTGAGTCTGTTATGTCTCCTTTTGGACTAACCATTTTATTGCTTATTACCGCATTTCATTTGACCGCTTTTGTAGCTGGGTATTTCCTTACTGGCATGGTCTTTCATAAGACACCTGATGTCAAAGCACTACAAAGAACACTATCCTATGAGACAGGTTCCTCCTTGGCCTTATCAGTACATAATTCTATAGGAATTTATGAAACTAACAAATTTTTCACTTTTGCAGGAATGCAAAGCAGTCTTCTGGCCCTTGCCCTTGCAAACAGATTTTTCCAAGATCCACTTGTTGGAGTGCCTCCGGCCATCTCTGTGAGTCAATGTCTTGGCTTAAAAACCTTTGTTTTTTTCTTTTCACTAATTCATTATTGGCTAAGATGACTTGGAACTCTTCTACAGTTTGGAGAGATCATTGTTTCAAATTTACATATTGCTTTGTTCCAAGCAATACGCACACATTTTGTCTTTCACCCTGCTAATGTCTTTCAATATGCACACATATTGACCCCAAAAAGATAAGGTTACTTTGTGTTTTGTTGCACCGGGTGTATTATTTACATGTTCACTGTTTTTAACTGTGATCTGCAGACTGTAATCATGTCTTTGATGGGCTTCTCTCTTGTTATGGTTTGGGCCAAAAGGAAAGAATAACTAGACAAAATAGATCTCAAATTCTTTGAAGTTGGCTCAGTGGTTCTTGATGGCTTGCATATTAATGAAGTGCACTCAAGCATGATTGAAGAGTATTTTTGTTTTTCTTTAGTGTTTTTTTAATAATTGTACACTTTTAATTTCTAGTGCTAAGATTTGTGTATCAACTCATTTTGTAATTTGTATATTATGCCTAGGGCAGTAATTATGGAAAATATTCATAAATTTTGCAATTATTTAAATTAAAGATTAACATCCCCATTGTTGTTTTTGTAGATCCTTTTCTTTTGTTTATGTGGAAGCTCATATAGGCGTATATACAACAACTTTATATATGAGAGAAAAAAAAAATTACAGATCTGAAGCGGATAACTGAGTCGAATCGGAGAGCGAGCGTGAATCTGAAGGTGTAGGCAGACGAATTAATTAACCGATTGACACAAGGGCGTATTAGCCTAATTGTATAAGGTTTTCTTTTTAATAAATAAAAAAAGTCGATAGAAACCTAATCTGAAGCGGAAACTAATACTGATTGAGTAATGAAATTGATTTCTTTTCCAAGAATAAACGAAAAATATGAAACTAACAATCCTAATCCTAGTCAGATTGATACATGGATCACCAATATATAAAAGGTAGAAGACCAAAAAGAGTAACATCACCTCAAAGTGAATAAAATATTTTCAACACATAGCTCTTCTCTCTTTCTGACCTAAACATGCAGGCTTTCAATCTCAACTCCAACGACCATGACTATAGTGTCGTTGTGATGGTAGAAAACAGAGGCTTCCCAGATGATCAATCCCTTGTGAAATTTCCTCAAGTCTCAATTGCTTGGAATGTCTTCAAGAGCTACCATGTTATTCAAGATGGTACCGGCACCACCACCCGATCGAGAAATCCGATCATAGACCCCGACACAACACCCAAATTTAATGCTCTACAATCGTTACCGTCACATGAAATTATATCCAATATGTTACATGAGATACACATCTCATTCCCATTAGACAGGCTACGCTGGAAACCGAGTCGTTTTGTGAAGGACATCGAGCCGTTGAACAGCGTTGACGACACGATCAACAACATACGACGGGCCATTGATGGGATGGTTAGTGCAGGACAACGTAAGAAGCTGGACGTGATTGTCACGGTTGACAAGCGGATTAAGATCTCACAGCAACAATATGATGCAATGGTTGCAAGGAGGGAGGTTAAACGTATGTTAACGGAGTTCCGTTCTATGCTTTCAAGTGAAGGTTTGCTACGCGACCAAGCTACGAGTAGTGTTTACGCTTTAAGGTGTCGATGGGCTCGGTCGCATTTGAATGAAATAAGGTCACATGCAGCCGCTGTAGGGCTGCTAAATAATATTAATGTCAATTTTAATTCTGAAGGAAGTTTGGATGTTAATGAAATATTGATAGAAATGGGGATGTTGATGGCGGTGCTCTCAGATGACCATCAACCAAAGCCTGCAACCAAAGCTTCGGTTGAGGAATTAGCAAAGTTAATCAAAATTGATGGAGTAAATTATGGTACTAATAGTGAGTGCTGTGTGGTCTGCTTGGAGAAGATGTTGAGTGGGGAAGAAGTCACGTGCATGCCATGCTCTCATTTGTTTCATGCAGGCTGTGTCGTTCAATGGTTGAAGTTGCATCAGACGTGCCCTGTCTGTAGGTTCAAGTTGCCGACTGATTGGTGGAGGTTCATAGGTTTAAGCATCAAAATTGGAAAATTATAATCTTTTGTGTAATTTTTATGAAGAGTAAGTATATATAGGGTTTAGTCATTAGCATGGGTGGTGCTATTTTTTACTCCGGAGTTTTATCCCTTGTGGTTTTCCGCGGGAAGGTTTTAACGAGGCCACCATTATAATATGCTCATTCTTAATATGTAATGTTCTCTTTGGGTTAAATGCAATACCATTTTCTTTATAATAATAAAAAAAAGTATATATGTTGTAGGAAAAAGGGTTAAATGAAACAATAAATTGTAATATGGGATTGGGTTTCTATTCTACTTGTATGTTTCATATGTTTATAATTTATTTATGTAATAAAAGTACGCAACAAAAAAAAAAACAAAAACAAAAAGAAGTAACCGGATGATTCTAATTTTTTTGCGGGCCTGGGACTGGGCCTTTTGAAATTGGCCCAAATTCTTATTTCCCATTCCTATTCCTACAAGGACTTGGTCAAATGTTATATAAGGAAACCGAGCCGAAGCAGAAACACCACATCTCGCAGACGAGTACACCCATTCTTGAGCAGAAAGCTTCCCATCTCTCTCCAGTCGTCGTCGTCAACATGATGAGTAAGAGGTGCAGGCTTTCTTCGATACCCGGCAACCGCCATGACCACGAGAGGGTTATGAAAGAGTATCAAGCCATGAAAGAGGAGATCAAGGCCAGGGCACTCAAGGAAGAGTGGAACTTACTGATAAAGGATTACAACGTTTGCGTTTCTGCTGGTCTTGTCCAACTCCAGTATGCTCTGCAAAAACTCTTCCGCGTTCGGGATGGGATAATTACCACTCTGTCCCCTGCAAGCTTGAATTGTGTTTTTGGGCCGATGGATGACGCCTCAATTGTGCAATTGGTCGAGGGCATTGTAGAAGTTGACGTTTGATCTATTAATTGTACAATTCATAGTCAGGTTTTCATAGGAAGAATGCTGAAATTGTAAGACAATTATCATTGTCATTGCCTTCATTTTATTCAATTGATTCATGATGTCTGTCCGTTACATCTATAGTATTAGAACTTGCACAATTCTTTTTTTATTTTTGTGTGTGTGGAAAATATGCTTGATTTAAAATGAAAGAAACATCATTCGATCACAAAAATCATCGTCTACTACGGTCCATTTGTAATCCGAACTTGAAATCAAGGAATGCCCAATAAATTTTTGTATATTCATTGTCGTACAATTTTGGAGGTTTTTTTTAAGGGCAACACTCGTATTTTCTTGAACATAAAAAATTACAAAAACCACATAGCTTAGTGGCAGCTTGCTAATTGCTTCACTTACAAGTCACCACCTTCATTGCGGATTGGTCCAAGCTACAAACTTCAAGCACCTACAATACAAGTCGGAACTTGCAAAAAAAGCACACACAAAAAATAAAAATAAACCAATCCACCTTGACCCCCAAGTGTATAATAATGCTTGGCAATAAATATATGAGTTAATTTTGATTTAGTACCTTGAATTAGGGATGGCAATGGGTGGAATTGGGGTATGTCATTCCCATCTCCATCCCTGTTAAGTTTTTTTCCCCCATCTCCACCTTCATACTTGCAATATTCATTTCGGGGATTCTCCATCCCCATCTGCATTGGGTAATAGTAGCTCAAGTGGTAAGAGTATTTTTACTCATTTTGATTTCCTCCTCCAATATCATGTACGTTCCATTCAATTAGCTTTTTTATTTATTTAATTTTTACTGTGACAAGTAGAGAATTTTAGGTAGACGAGTTATATTGAGCTCCTTGGTGTTGGTGGGTGCAAATTAGAGCACCATACGAGTATGGTACCTTATCTAAAGCCTAATTACCAGAAAGACCTTCAATCTTGAAGTAAATTTCCATTGTACCCTCATCTTCAACTACCAGCTTCGAAAGCTTTACAGTGAAAATCTTCAAACAAAACCCAACGACCATGGCAATGAACTCCTTACTGTACCTCCCAAAACCCGCTTTTCCTCACAAACCCCTTTCCCCTCCAACGTTCCCTACACACCCAAAAGCTCAGACCCGACCCGCAAAGTCCCTCAGTCAAAATGGTACCCTGGGTTTTCTCGGAGCGGGTCTGACCCTGACCCTGACCCTTATTGGACCCGCCTCAGCTGCTGAGTTACCGTTGTGGGGATCCTTGCAGCTCAGTGAACCCTCCAATGCCCTCTCTTTGCCCACCTGGGCCATACACGTTTCTAGTGTCGTTGAATGGTGAGCATTTTCTCTCATAAGATCATTTTCTGGTGTTTCTGTAAATGGGTTTTCCGAATTTTCTCTCTCTTTCATTGTTTTTGTTTTCGTTTTGAATTCTTGTTGGTCATCTGTTTGGTTGCCTAGAAAAGAGAGGTAAAGGAAAGGAAGACGATTATATTGAGCATGGTTGCTTGCTGTGTTAATTGTAAATTCTATTTTTTGTTGCAAGGATTACAGCAATGGCTTTGGTGTGGCAGTATGGGGAGAAGTCTGGGTTTGAATCTTGGAAAGGGCTGTCTTGGGGTATGGTGAGTTATTTTCTTTTGGTGCAATGTAGTTTTGATTTGATTATTTGGATGATCCATGGATAAATGAATAACAAAAGAACAATGTTGCCTCTGTTAAAATTATTTATTCTGAATGATGGAGCACTTCTAACTTCATTGAAGAAATTTTTAGAGGTTGTGTACAATAGTTGAAGTTTTAGTAAAATGGTTGGTAGGCGATTGTTCCCATTTGTTTCCAGTAGTTGTTTTGTTGGCTAATGTCATACTACTTATATCAAATCAAACCATTACAATCTTGTCCAATTTCTCAGAGAATCAAATTGGGGAGATACAATTGACCAGTGTTTTCTATCCTTCCTGTTTTTGTTTTTATCTTATTTGATAGGAAACATGAACTTTATTGAGAAACAAAATGAAGTACATAAGGAGGAGATGGACATGCAAAGCAACTAATACTACTAACGTAGCACCTAGGGAAAACCAACTACGAGCACAAGCCTAGCAAACCAACCATCAATGTGAAATTCCTACTGAATCAGGAAGAATAATTCTAAAGGTATGTTCCTAAAGTTTTTAGGCAATGATGCCCCAAAATGAGGGTAGAAATCCTATAGAAACTTTATCTGCCCTGTTGTCAAGGATCCTTCTATTCGTCTCCAACCCCACAATCCAAATGGAGGCCAGCACTAACGAATACCAAAGAGTAAAAGCCTACTTGTTTGCCCCAACATAAGTATATATATGCTCAGTTGACTCGCTCTCAGCTTTTCTCAACACAAACTAGTGAGGAGATAAACAAGCATATGGCCTCCTTTTATTTCAGAGCATATCACAAGTTTTGGTTTATCATGAGCCACCAACCAATCTA